CATCTTAACCGCGAGACCGGCCAACCTGCGACAGCTAACCATTCGCCAACCTGTCCGGTCGCAGCGGAATCGCGCTACCTAGATAATCCGTAGGAGCATCCGGATCGGCGGATTCGGTCTCCGAATATTTCGGGACGAGAGCTCATTACGTGTTCAATAACCCGGGTACGTGTCGAACGCCTCCAACTTTTTCGCGCGACACATCCGGAGAGATGACGGGGTCGGAAATACGTCGGGTTTTTTAATACGCCAAAAAGCTTGCCGTGTCGCGGGAACATTTTTGGTATAGCTCGCTCTAGCCTATCGCGGATATGGAGTATTCCGCGAACTAGTTCGGCCCAACTTTCTTGATTTACGCGAGTTCATTATTATTTTCGCGCTACGGAACAATCGCCTCTTCCGCACTTCCGTCTGTAACCCCCTCCCTCCGCCGCTCTCGCGCTAGAGATGAAAAGTCACGACTGGAATACGTTGAATAATGGAGGAAATTTTTTCTTCGCCATGACTCTGCATTTTATGCTGAATATTTCAAGACTCGAGTATATACGCAGTTGTGTGTGATGGAGAGGAACAAAAGTAACATCCTCCCTCGTTTAAAATCGTAAAAAGGAAAAAAAATCGAATCGTACGCGCCTCGCATCCCTGGAGTCACGAATTCAGAAATATGCGACGACGCAAAATTACTTATCTTTTTGCCGCCCTTTAAACAGGAGCAATACCTCGCTCCGTCATTATCGCGCGCGCCGCGCTTTAAATTTTTTCGACGCGTCGAGTGTAATTTACTCTCCCAGCGAAATTTCCAACTCGGCTGTAGCAATTATTAATAATTGCGCATTGCGATCCTATCTAACGTATCGTTTCCGAAAATCCAAATTTCAAAGTGCAGCTCGACCGGGCCGGTAATCATAGTTTCTTGCTCGATTTTATACGCGCGATGGCGTCTTATTCGTCGAAACCGGCTCTCCCCACCCCCTTCTTCCCTCCCCGGCCGCTCTTGTACGTACCGGATGAGGGCCCCCCGGGGCTTCGTCGAATCACAAGTACGAAGGACCTGCCCTCTGTGTCTTGCTCCGTTCCAGAGAGGAGCCACCGTGCCGCAAAAGAACGTAAAAGATGCCGGCAATCCGTGGCCCTGCAAATTATCAAATCATCTCTAGTCCGATTAATGCCGTATATAAGTTAAGTCATTACTTTGTGAGACACGTAGCCAACGAGGGAATACGCGTGTGGGAGATTTATACATCGTTCCCTACCGTTCTTCCGAGGATCTATAATTAGAACCTCCGAGAGAAGATCTCTCGAACCTACCCGGTTGAGCTACATCTCTAACGCGTTTGAGACGGATATTTATCGGGCAAAATATTTACAGAAGCGAATTGTCGTTATTCCGCGTCTACGAATTATTAATTATTTTTATATCTCTTATTATTGTAATATAATTCGAGTGGAAGGACGTGGATGTAATAAAGTTACTTGGCGAAATTCGCTTCGATTCGCGCAGCTCTTTGTGGAGAGAACGCATCCTCGCACGCACTCTGATCTCTTCGTGCCCGTAGAGTTGGAAATAAGGCGGCAATAAAGCATATGTAAAATATATTCTTGAATTCCTTTTAGGACGCAGATATATGGATGGTTCGGTGGGTCGGTTGCCCGCTGGTAACCATGTTCCCTCCTCCCTTCCCCTCCTCCCCTCCTCCCCCCCGCGTTCTTCTTACAACGGCAGATACGCACACCGATGTGGGCACTGCGTGTACGTGTTACCGGGCGTGTGAGTTTATAGATGCACGGCGATGTAAGTAAGACAGACGATCCGTTTCATTAGAGGGTGTCGCAACGTTACCCACCTGTACCGGACCCTCTACCATCGCTCTCTTCGAGGTATCTTTTTTTTTTAAGATTCTCGCTTCCTTCGACGATTATTTTTGCTTAGAGGGGGCCAAGTATTTGTCTCGACGTAGAACGAATTTTATATCTATACAAAAAAGCGTACCATTTTTAATCTATTTTATTTTAAAATAATTTTCTTAATATTGATTTCGGTCATTCAAAGACGATGACGGTAGGAAATAATAAGACATGTCATAGAGATCTCGTACTATGTTATTGTCCTTCTTCGGAAGAGTAGCTTTAAAATTACGAATGTTAAATTCGATTAAGAATGATTGTGTATAAACGTAATCGATGATTCGGGAAAAACGTGAAAATTCTCTCGATACCGAGGAGCAGCAAGAAAGGGAAAGTTCACCGTTTCTGCTCGGCAGGAGAGGAGACGTGGGGGAGGTGGACGGAAAAAGATGTACGGAGCCGCGAGGTGTCGTCTTACAACCGGCTCTCGGTTCGCTTACCTATGCCGAGCCTCCTTTGCATGCCATCTCCACCACCATCTTACGTCGGCTTGCTCCTTTTGCGCCGCGTCCCACGAAACATCCTCCCTTTCGCCCGAGATGCACCGTTGCATTCGGTCTTTGCATAATTATTACGATTACCGCGAGTAGCAGCTGGCTCGTTGTGGAGAAGCCACCTCTCGGTATCTCCTCCCCCTCTCTCTCCCTTTCTCTCTCATTTTCGATTCGCCTCCCTTCTTTGTCTCGTTTTCGTCAGGAAGCGAGAGGTGAAAAAGAGAAACAAGGGCGGCATTTATGGCTCGCGTGTGTGCGTTAATTAAATTTCTTGCGTGATAGTAAACGCGAAATTATCTTCGGCATCTTCGCCGGCGTCTCTACTTTTTGCTCGCGATTAATTGCATACTTCGATGGATTGTCAGCCAATCGGCGTCTTTCCTCCATGTCATCAGATGCGGCGATGGATGAATTACAACGAATCACGTAACTCTGTAGAAGTCTGTATTAATGATACTCCGTAGTTTACGTATCGAGTCACGTTCTTCATTAAAACGCACAGTTCGAATTCTTGATCGAGTATGCGAATGACAATGTAACTTTCGATCGACCTTTGTTTTATTTTGATATAGATGAATCGCAATTCCAGCGTACCGATTATGATCGACAAGTACTATCAGACAATTTAAAAATTCGGCCACGATATTCAGGATACATTCAGGATAGATTGCAAATACACAATTGATCGCCATTACATACGCGGTATGAATGATTGATTCGAATGTTTTATTTCGTAGATGGGAACGTACCAAGTATAAATTTTATATTTCGTAATTATTTTTCATCAGCGTTCAAAAAAATATTTTACCGACGCGGATAGATTTCTAGGTATCACGAAAAATTTTTCGCCATTTTTTTGTATCCGTTACAACATTTTTTCATATAAAATTTATATCAGCAAATTCTAATAATACCTTCCGACGAAATTTAAGTAATTTAAATTTATGTTTAAAGTCAAATATTAATTATTACATTGGATAAATATAATTTTCTAGACTATTGTTAAAACGATTTTTTGTGTGTATCAGTCAAACAATATTAGCCCTATAGATAGATGTTACAGGAAGAATTTTTTTCTAAATTTTGATTCGGATAGAAATTTTTTTTTCTCATTTGGATTGGAATAGAAATTTTTTTTTTCATTTAGATAAGTTCTATCCGATCTTATTTCTACCGATTCGAATAGAAATTTTTTTTTTTTTTTTCATTTAGATGAATGCAAAATATGTCGCAATATTTGCTAATCATTTATTTAAATTAGTTAATTTTTCACACCTGAACAATTATTGTCGTAGTAGCATTTTTTTGAGTGGGCGAAAACAAACATGAATATAAATGAGTCTCGGACGGATTTTTCGTACGATAAGGTATTTGGAAAATCTGAATCATCTCTTTCGTTATTCTCGCTCAGCAGGATGCTTCACTTGCGTGGGAGCAAAGTCGGCACCTTGCCCGCGGCGTGGCTTACGCGCTTATTCAAAAGTGCTTGCACGTAAAGCCGATATCTTACTCTCGAACAAACTAAAGCTTCGCAAAGGTCTTCCCGTGACATATCTCCGCTTGCCGACGACATTTTCGTCCGCGTTGCGAAATTTCCCCAAGCGTATTCTACACGTACCGCGCTTTACCGGATTTGCGATTGCACGTAACGACGGGGCTCACTGAATCGATCTTTGCATTCCGGAATCAACCAGGAAAGGATTATTCCATTTCACGAAACGTACGATTCGATTACTGGCAATCGATAAATCTTCTTGGAAATATATTCTACTAGCTAATAATATATAGCTTTCTTAAAATGTGTGTATGTTGTTTTTTTGAAAATGAAATATACTTGACGATTTACTATACATGTTTCGCAGAGTCATACGTTTCGTTACCTCCCAAACAAATCCAACTCCTCAAGATTGCCGTGGCCGATCTTCGACATTCTAATTCGGACCGCTCGTTCGACCGTCTCGGTGTTGGAAAACGTCAGAGACTTTATTAGACATATTTATGAGAGACACGGTTAAATTCCATAAGCGTTCCATCTGACCGCTAAGTCTCACTAGTAGCTGCTACAGAAGAGATATACGTCTTCGCTGTTCCTCATTTGCGTGCGTCAAGCCTTAGTTTATTTATGCCGGCGGGTTTTTAGCATGTATTTATGATCGTTGAGGTTTCCGTCGTCACACCCCGAGAGGTCGCGTTGCCTCTCCCCTAAAAGAGAGACGAAGTCGGCGGTGTAACGCGCCGCGCACTCTTCGTTAGCCTCCGTTGTATATAACTTATTAATTACGGTTGACTAATGCGCTCCAGCTGTGCCACGTAGCAACATCTTACCTTCTCCCCTTCGTCCGCCAACCGTCCTCCAACTTTCTCCCGGTGCTTTCTCGGCAGCCCTTAGAGAGAGGAACGAGAGCGAGAGGAGAGAAAGAGCGAGGGGGTAGGTGGAGACGCCCCGGCAGAAACGAGTCGAAGATCCTGGTAGAGCGTGAAAGAGGAAGGGAAACGCGGGAAAAGGGGGGTCTAGGTGGTGTGGAAGAAGACGGGAGAGAGAAGAGAGTAGAGCGCGAGGGACGCCAGGCAGTAACTCACGCCCCCGAGAGGATTACCTACCTTGGCAAGGCTGGAGGAGGGTATATCCCACGTTGAGCTACGATCTTGCTGCGTAGCTACGCGTTCCTCATACCAAGTGTCCTCGGTGTACTCCCGTGCCGCGTGCAAACAGGGTTCTTCGAGAGCGTGAGCGCGTTCCGGATGGCACCGGAAGGCCGAAACTGGTGATACGTGAACGGACTATAGCATTCTTCAAACCAGACGGAATATTGTTCTAGGATGCGAGTCTAAAAAGAGAACGAAACATTGCCAAATGATTATCTATTCGTTTAATTTTTATCGTTATTTATACGAAAGCTTAATATTTATGAAACTAATGTCTTCCTTCCCATAGAAAAAATATTAATTTAACAAATTTAATCTTTTTATATAAAATTAAAAAAAATTAAATTTGTGTAATGTAATAGAATAACCGTAAAGAACCTTTGTGCGGAAAATAAAAACTTGCATCGATTAATGCAATTAAAATTTTGGATTTGTGTTGAAAATGCGCGCATATAATAATACAAAAATATGAAACATTATAATTATGTAATTTTTAGATTTTTCTCGATAACTTTAATAATGTATATAACCTGAATGCATGAAATAAATTATACAACGTATAAATCACAATAATACTAAGCATTATTTAATTTAGAAGCAAGAAATTTAGGAGGAAATTTACCACCCTGGTTGATGTATCGCTAGTCTTACGTACAAAAACTGCCCAACGTTGCGGAAACTCGAGGGGGCAAGCCTATAGGAAATATCTCAGGAGGAAGTCTGGGAAGTCCTTCATGAACCCAATTCACTTACTTTGATTTGATTGGTCCCGCGTATGATTCGACTCCGTATATATACACGCGCGTAACAGAGGGAAGCGGGAAAGGAGTGAGGGTTGCCGAAGCCAAGCTTTGGTTGGCATCGTGTTTTGCAAAGTTATACCAGCAAATCCCCAACAGCAATCAACGTATTGGCTGTTCTTGTTAGAGTTGGCAACCAGTTAAGTTGGGCTCCCTACCTCAGTTTATGGTCGAATACGTCGAATACGTCGAAACTCGGCAAATCTCTTTCAACCGACGTTTTCCCCTTCGCATTTGAAGCTGTTCTCAACGAGGCGAAAAAAAGCATCTGATTGCTTCGTAAAATTTTCTTTTACCGAGCTTCCATCTTTCCGATTGTTTTCCAAGATTTCTTTTTCAATAAAAGTATACTAGTTGGATTGATTATAATTTATAGATAAATGTTAAATTCAACATCTTTCAATACGAATTTTTGCGAGTTTGTTAAAATAAGATAAATTTACTTTACATATTTTGTATTGCGCATAATTCTTTAAAACTTTTTTTTTTTTAATATAATTCAGACTTTTGAAAGAACAATTCGTCGGATGAAGGTTTGGGCGGAGTTGAAATTTTCCAGGATATACGGGCGAGCATTTTTCAAGAAAGGCGTGAATAACGAGCGAAATATTTTTCGCTCTTCTAAACATGCTCTACGGTTTTCCTGCTTTGCTGTTTAGCCAACCAATTCCTCTTGGCATGCCTTACCGATCTTCTTCTTTCTCCCTCCAAATGAAAGCATTTAAAGGGGTCTTAGCATAAAATTTATCCATCCCTTCGGTTAAGCAATCATGCGTACCTCTTTTTACTTTACGGGGAGCGCGGTAATCTTGATATTTCATCCCCTAATTTCGCTTGGTTCGCGATATCTCATGGATAAGATGTCATGCGGGGGGCGAGAGTAGTTCACTAGTGAATTTGAAACAAATCGAAGAGCGAGAATAATTAAAAAAGAGAGATTACTTCCAAATTATTTTTATAGAAGGATGGTTTCCAAATTATTTTATAATAATTTGGAAACTATCCTTCTATAAAAATAATTTGGAAGTGATCTCTCTTTGAAAAACTTGTTAAATGATAATATATGAAAAAATGAAAATTTTAAAAATAAAATTTTTCATTATTTCTTGTCAGTTTCGCAAAAAATATTTTATATTATAGACTTTATACTTTTCATAATTAAATGTTATAAATTCTATGAAAAAATCTTATGATTATATGACAGACATAATAGATCCGACAAATAATATTAGAGTGTCATATTTTTTTACTTTGCTAATCTATATGAAAGCAATTTGGACGATTCTACTTTCATTTATAGTTTTAGTAGAGAAAGAAAGAGGAGGAAAGAATTTATTGCACCTATCCTTACCGCACATCTCGAAAAAGCACGTGCCAATGGAACATGGAGGACGATTCTGTGGGAGTTATAATGATAGAGGAAGGTATGACGGGAGATTCCGAGATGGCAGGGAACCGGGCTCGACGTGCGCGATCCGTGTGACAAATAACCGCTAAAAATACGCCGCGTTGTAATTCCACGCCCCCTCTGTACTCGGTGCGAGCCGGGGCAACATGACAACCCGGTATGAGAATCGTGGGGGTTGTCACGGGGTGGCAAGGAGAGTGGGATGAGGCGCCCGGAGGGATAGCGGTTCGGACGGCGGGGCACTTGATTACGTCGCGATAATAAACATCACGCTCCGATATAAACCTTGTTTCGGTGTACTGGCTATGATACGGATACAATGGTCGTCTGGAATTGCGGCAGCGTATGCGTGAATCACGCGCCGTGTGATTTTATGCACTTTGTTGATAACAGATCGGTACAGATGCGATTATAAATTTGAAGCGTTTATTGGGCGACTAGATTCGTATCGGGATGTTGAAACATATTAGATTCCCGCATATCCAACAATCATATCCCAAGAGACAGATTTTTTTTTACAACTTTCAAGTGTCGATCGATTAATTTTCTTGCACTTGAACCTTTCGGCGAATTATTGACAGTTAAAAAAAAATAAAAATATAAAAAATATGAAATAATATTCTTTCTCGGTCATCGAGAAGATCGATTCTGGTCGAACACGAAAGGATAAGCCGATAGAGAGCGGAAATCGCAATATTATAGATATTTATGTACTTGGGCACGCACCGTATGCGAACGAAAACCGAGTAAAAGGAAGACTCTCGGCCGAGGAGAGAGGTCGGTTTAGGTTGGATACCGGTGGCAGAGGTGAAACGGGAGGGTTTTTACGAGGCAGTAATGGCCGATAAGGTGAGCTTGCGCCCCCACTGTCGGGGCTTACTCCGCTACTGTACCCAAGTGACTGCTCAACAGTACCTATTCCCGCCGTCGTATACTCTTTTACCTTCTCCCGTTTGTCCGGGAGAACGACTCATGCCACGCTTTATTTTAAGCCGTTTACACATTTCCTTTATCGGCACGGGCCTCGTTTATACCTATATCGCCGCGTCTGATATTCGCAGCGCCGTGGGATATCAGAAATTCATTAGAATGCTCTTTTAATAAGTACCTTAAGCGGCAGCTCATAAAGATAACAACTCGCTTAGGAGCGAGATAAGCAGCGGGGGATGGAATGACGAGCCGGCGTAATCTACGTACTCAATTGGCATCACGCACAAAGTGATGCTCGCCGGTGTACTTACTTGTCTTCGAGTATCAGTAAATGAAAATTTATCGCGTTCGTAAAATCAACTTTTTTCTCATTTTAATTACTCGCCGAGAGAGATTCGTATTGTCATCGAAATTGATGTTTTTATCAGCGTTCTCTGTCCAAAGCGCAATCCAAAGACAATCATGTCTGTTATATTGACAGAGTTTGATTAACATCGTTGGGAGTTTCTTCATTTGGCCGCAATTTTTTGTTTTTTTATTTTTTTATATTCGATAAATATAATATTAGAGAAAAGAACAAAGGGAGAGCCCGTTACAATTTTTATGTCGTTGTTCGCAGGAGCGAATGGAATGCGCAGGCGCGGCCGACAGACCTACACGCGCTACCAGACTTTGGAGCTTGAAAAGGAATTCCACACGAACCACTATCTGACCAGGCGGAGGCGGATCGAGATGGCACACGCGCTCTGCCTGACGGAACGGCAAATCAAGATCTGGTTCCAGAATCGGCGAATGAAGTTGAAGAAGGAGATTCAGGCGATCAAGGAGCTAAACGAGCAGGAGAAGCAAGCGCAGGCGCAAAAGGCAGCGGCAGCGGCGGCGGTTGCACATCAGCAGCAAGGGGCTGGTGGGGGACCCGAGGGGGGCAACTAGGGGTACGCCCTGCATCGGAGCCCCCCTGACCACCCCACCGTCAATCCACACCACCCTCTACTAGCACCGCAATGTACACAGCTGTATTAAAGGTGAGTAATTTTTGTAATCATTTCTTATCCCCCGATCTCTCCTTGATTGTAATTCAATCAAGAATTATACTTGAATTATAATTTTTTAATTTAAACTATATAGAAAATATTACTGAAGTATCTGACAAATTTTACAGTTTGAATATTCTTTTTTCTGTATTGAAAATATGATTAGAAACATCAACTCTTTGGAAATATAACATTAATTTGAATAAAAATTACAAAGTTAAAAATTCATTATAATTAATATAAAGTTAAATGTGAAATAATCAATGTTTAATTCTTAAGATTCAATTTATTAAAATAATTTTATTTTTGATTGCATATGAGACAAATTTTATCATGCTTCGATATTACAAAGTAGATTTTTAATCGATTGAAGAAGAGATGTAATTTGTAAAACGAGAGCCCTTGTACTTCAGTAATAATCTATATATATATATATATATATATATATATATATATATATATATATTAATACATATTTTTGTTTTCGTTATTAGCGAATTAATCAAACGAGCATATATGCGCTCGGTGCAACAGTTAGGATTATGTGCTATGCACTAAAAAAATGATACTTGTATAAACGTTGAAAGCGGCGTTAAAAATGAGATTCGAGCTTTTAGCAGCAGTGGCCTTAAAATTAAATTTAGTCGGCGGGCTTAATGAGGATAAACCGCGTACAAGCGTGCCTTCATAATTTTCTAAGTTATGCTATTCGCGTGCATTTAACTTGCGTTAAACGTGCATCCCAAGGGGGCTATAAACGTAGACTTGAAATATTGCGTCTATTGTTTTTACTCTGCCAATAATAAATAAAAAAAGATTATCAGTTTTCTCATGTTACGTCCGTTGACCATTATATATGAACGTGATTCTCGTACCAAACAAAAATTACGATATTTCATACCGCGATAGTTGTAACCGTAGAATAAAAAATCGTCATGTGCGTTAAAACCTAAAAAAAGAAAGAAACTTAGAAACGATAAATTGCAAGTGAATAACACAAGGAAAAAAAAAGAAAGTAGAAAGTCTAGTCAGATAAAAAAAAGAACAAGACAATAGTCTTGTTGGCGCTATTTATCCCAAAAAAATCCGCAGTATAATCTGTAGTTTTAATCGAGGGTCAACCATTCATTCTTGAAAAAAATAAACTGCCATTCGGTTGAGGCAGTTTGTAAGAAGGGTTCCCGCCTTTTTCACACTCACGAGAATCTCTATCATCTCTTAAGCTTTTTTATGTGTTTTAGTTAAAGAACTGATTTAAAAATGTAATACTGATTTTACTAATTTATTAAATTAAACAATAATCGGGCTTAAGGAGCTAATATTATGCAATAATGTTAAAGTCAGTAAATAAGAATAAATTTAATAACGTTGCAATACATTTAAATTAAGTAACTATTAATGACTGTGCGCATTATGTAATGAAATGTATAAGTAACTATTAATGAATATGCGCATTATATGATGAAATGTAAACGTACGTTTCTGTCCTCAACTGGACTCTCTTCAGTACAAATAAATAAATTTTAGGAAAATTAAAACTTAAAAATTACAAGGATTACGCTTATCGCATGAATGGTATCCGAGTGAACCGTATATTCGGCTGTGTAATTAACTGTGTAATTTCTTAGCAGTACTAGGTGTCGACCACGTGGTGGATGTTTCCAGAACGTCTCTTTACTAATTTAACTTAAAAGTACGCCGTGTACGCGAGTCTATTTATCTGTATCTTTACTTTCCTATGTGTGTGGGAAAATATTTTTTAACGTCTACAATTTTTTTGAACCTCCTTTTTTCAAAAAATACTTATATAGTAAATGATTATTTTTATTAATCATATTAATATAAAATATGTAGATATAAAATATAAAATATGTAGATATAGAATATTTTAGATATATATGTTCTCACTTTACAAGATAAAAAGAGAAACATTACGGAGCAAAATATTTTTTAACGTCTATAATTTGTTAAATCTCTTTTTTCATTAAAAATATTTATTTAATAAATGATTATTTTTATTAATCATATTAATATAATATAAAATATGTAGATATAGAATATTTTAGATACATATCTTGCTTTACAAGATAAAAAGAGAAACATTACCGAGTAAAATGGCAGATTAGTTTATCATACATTCTTGAAATACTTGAAATGTCTGCAGCGGAAAGGAAATACGCCAGAAAACTCGGATCGAAACTTCTTATTCGTCGAAATCTATTGGGGCGTTTAATATCTCTTTTTTGGTATCTTTGAACGACGAAGTTCGGACATAAATTTTGCCGCGACTGCGCGTAATATTACGACACACACAGCGAAACGATTCCTCGATTAACTCCGAGTAATTGTACGCCACTTGAATCGCGATTAAATAACGCCCCACGGTGATGTTTATTTAATCACGCTTATTTAAATCAAGGAGACGATTATATCCTTAAAATAGAATGCTGATCGATTTGCCCGCCAATTAGTGATTAGTGCGACGAGAAACTAGATTCGAATAATCTTGATCATAGTAGATCTCCATCTTTTATTTTTTGGACTCTCGTCTCATTTCTCGCTTATTCTCTATTTTCACCTCTAATCCGACTTTAATTAAACATGAAGTAGATGTAAACGTAAGATATATGCAAAATAAAATTTTATGTCAAGAATTTTTCATTGAAAAAACTGAATCGTAATTTTTCCATGCGTCATCCAAAAAAGAATAAAATGTAGATTGGCTTCTGTGAGCCGAGATATATATAAAGATATTTTTTGACGGGCAACATGAAAAAGCAATTTAGAAAGATTTAGGCGGGTGATGTAAAAAAACGATCACGATGACATTCGATGATTAATTCATATGTTTTTTCGAGTCAGAAGCGTCTTCACAAATATTCTTATAATAAAAAAATGTACTCCAAGATTGCTCACCGAGATATTTTTCTTAGGTCTCAGATTATCAGATCTTGTTCGATTTGTTGCAATTGCACCCTCGTTCGCAAGTTATCTACGGCATATTGTTGAGCCTATTTTTTAGATTGGCGAGGTATTGTTTGTTTCTGAAGTCTCCTTTCTGTGTAGATATATGCACAATTCAGCATGTAACAATGAATGGACAGTAAACAATAGGGCAATGCCATCTATCGGTTTCAAAGGTTTTGGATTAGTTATGGCTGCTTCATCCCCCTCTCGTGGGCGTGGCTGAGGCGTGGGCACATCTATTTTTTGGCGCGGGTCATTCATCTCGGAAACTTCTACTACTATTTGGTGACACAAACTCATCAAACTACACACCGACTACGTTACCTGTCAACGAATAGTAAATACGGAGCGCGCAAGACACGCGAAATAATCAAAATTTGAATCGTTTCATGTAACACTCCGCGCGCGGTCTTGCTTGTTTTCCTCGTCACTTAACCACTGTCACAGTAGGTGGCAGCACGAATCAGGGTTAGTCGGTCGGCAACGAGTCGCGTCTACCTTACCGATCTCTCCATCGGTAACGCGTAACTCAATTCGGGGACAAGTTACCTCTACCCACCAAGCAGGATATATTGAACGGTAGTTCGATGATCGCCCGTAATGCGCTTTATGGTTTGTTTTTATCGACGTGGTTATATAGTAACTCACGACCTTCCTGCTTCCCTCTCGACGGTGGTGAGTCGAATCGTCGATGCCACCGATGCTGTTCGCGCCCATGCATGTGCATGTGCATGTGCACGGCGCGCACGTGCATCGGTATTGGTCGTATAAACGCGCGCCGCTGAGTCGGCAGGGCTATTCACATTTTCCCCGCGAATGCATTCCCCGGAGCTATCGGTCAATAATCCAATAAACCCCGCGCGACTCGCGCAGCCCCATGAAGAGGAAATAAAGTACCGGCGACGCTACGTGATTTTATTGCGTAGTAAAGCACGATTCCGACAGATCGATGCGCGATCACCATCGCATCTCTTGCTCTCTCTCTCTCTCTCTTTCTCTCCCTCTACTCGCGCGCGCGTTCACTTAGCCGCTCGCCAAACTGGTAGGTCAGGGATCTTTATTGGCTGTAAAGGAAGACGTTTTACGATCCATAAAAGCGTTTATAGCGCCCAAGTAGTCTTACCTCGGTTCTTACATCCCGGTTATATCCATTACCCCTTCCGCGGCCTTTCCAAGGGCGGCCACTGGCACGCGTTCTCTCTCTCTCTCTCTCTTTCTCTCCCTCTCGCGACTTGCCTTTGAGATTTACAGGTTACGCTCCCGGTAACACCTCGTAAACTTGGCTTAACGACTTTAACCGGGCCTAACTGCTTCCTTCCTGCAATCAGACCCTGACCTACCTTGCGTACACACGGTCGTCCTAGAAAAATTCCGAGATACCGAGATAATCGAACGTGAAATCGCATCGCTTTGCGATTTTATCGGTCAATCTTTCCATTCACCGAGATGCGAGGATAAATTTTTCGAGTCTACCGCAATCGTTCGCGTAATATAAGACTTTCTAGCATTTCTGCAAAATTATACATTTATATTCCGACATAATTATTAAGATTCACAATTATAATTAATTAAATTTATTTCATTGAATTTATGGACCAAGTATATGTATATCAAATAATTTGAACTGTATATTTACAGATTTTACATTTCTTCGGAATATATATTAATATTTTTTCACGATTTTTTACGTATTTTTAACTTTAAATCATTACTTTATTTCACGTCTTTCATCGATGCTTATGTTAAGGTAATAATTCTGCTTGCTGATTTTATCACGACATTTATAGCCGTCATTATGAGCTGATATCGTTGCAATTCTCATAAAATCTTCATTCAATCAAATTCATTTGAGACGCTCATGTAGATAGGCTAATGGAGGAAGTGGAACGTTCGTACGAGACGGGAAACTTTTATGATTTGGCTCGATGTTGTGTTACATTTTATATCGCTGTATACTTTGATAGATTTTAATTATTATTATTATTTAATCTCTACTTTAGAAATTATATACTTATAGAAGTAGT